AAAGAAAAAGTAGGAGGCAACGAAGAAGAGCACGCTGAAGAAGAAGAAGAAAGTGAAAAAAAAGAACACGAAAAACAATGACAACAACAATAATAGCAAGAAGAACGAACCACACTATAATGAAGATAAAAATAATCGTAAGGAAACGGAGAAGAAGTGATGTAGTAGCAAAAGACGCCTTTAAGTCACGCCCTCCGCAGACCCTCGGCGGCGCCGCCCCCCTTCGGCTGCAGCTCGTGGTGGATGTGGATGCGGTACAGCAGCACCTCCAGCGTCCACATCATACGGGCGTCGACGTCGTGGAAGCTGATCAGGTGGGGACTGCAGCAGTCGGGGCCCTGGGGGGGGGGTGAAGACGGGCTGTATCTGTCTTTGCTATCTTCCTGTCTGATGGTTTGTATGCTTGTCTGTCTGTCTGTATTTTTATCTACCTATATTTATATCTGCTGTTTGCTTTTTACTCTTGTTTTATTTACAACAAAATGAATGAAAAGATAAATAATAATGTGGGTTTATCAAAACGAAAGATTAATACAATAAATGTAGATAAATGGTATTCATTCATTGAAGTTATACAGTGATTTTTTTCTGCATTTATCTCACATATTTTTAAATAATGAATAGTTCGTACAAAAGGAAACATATCAAGCTATAAAAAAATCACATACTCCACATATAACTGTCAACGAAAAAGCAAAAAAACAAAAAACAAACGTGGAAATACAGACAAAATGCAAACAACAGATAAGAAACATATGATAATAACGATAAAACACCAAAACCAGACATGGGAATACAGACAGATAATACAAACAAAATAGAAAAGTACAAAAGAAATAAAAGAAAAATAAATAACAATAAATATATAAATAATACAAAACAAGCTAGTCAGGAGAGCCACCACGTCGTGCAAGTCCCGGATGCACCTCCAATACAAACAAAAGATAATATAAGTAAAATAGAAAATGGCAAAACAAAATCAAAGAGAAAGAAAGAAAGAAAGAAAAAATAATTATGATGGAGAAGGTTACCCAGCACGTCGCGCATGTGCCAGACGTACCTTCAATACAAACAAACATAAAGTGCAGACAAAATAGAACATCACAAAACACAATATCAAAAAGAAACAATCAAACAAAAATACAAATAATAATAATAATAATAATAATAATAATAATGATGATGTTACCCACCACATCGTGTTTGTGCCAGATGTACCTCCAGTACCAGTGCAGCCTGTTGACGAGCGGCGCCTTGTAAAACAGCGACAGAGGGTTATGGGAGAAGAAGCGAGGTTTGCCGCCCGCGTCCAGACTGTCCCCCGCCCGCACGCCCACCGACTCGAGACACTGGCCTGCGAAGGATGGGGGGGGAGGTTAATGGGCGTGTGGAGGAGGATAGATACATGGTACGAAGGAATAGCTGATAGATAAATGATAATGGAAGGAAGCTATTCGTTAAAGAACTTGATACGGGAAATGTGTATTTTGATGACTAGATGACTAAGAAACAAACATGCAAATCCCGAAAATATATACATATATACTCAGTCAATTAACTGCTAATTAGATAGATAAACAGATAGAGAACAGCTGTTCAACTTAATATGTAAATGAAATTCTCATTTAGGCAGAATCATTAAGAAATGAAACGTTAAATGCTTATAAATGATAAAGAGAATCTAAGCTCTATAAACAGCGATGAGGAAGGAACAAAAAGCAGATGAACAAGAGATTCACCAGAAACACGGAAAAGGAACATTCGCAACACACACAAAAAAAGAAGAAAGAGAGAGAGAGAGAGAGAGAGAGAGAGAGAGAGAGAGAGAGAGAGAGAGAGAGAGAGAGAGAGAGAGAGAGAGAGAGAGAGAGAGAGAGAGAGAGAGAGAGAGAGAGAGAATAAAACAAATAGATAGATAGATAATAAATCAATCAATAAATGTATGAATTAAAACAAATAGATAGATAGATAAATGATAAATTAACAAATAAATATATACGAATAAACAGATAAATATAAATGTATATATATGACTATATAGATAAATAGATGACTAAACAAACATACAATCAAGTTAATAGATAAGTAAATACACAAACGCATAAGGAATCCCACCCACCCAGCAGGAGGTCCTCGGCGCCCCTGACGGCCTCGTTGGCGCACTTCGCCTGGTCCTTCATCGTCAGCGCCTCCGTCACGAACCTCCTGACGGCCTCCCTGCTCAGGACGTAGCCTCCGCCGCCCGACATGTAGCCCTGCAGGAGGAGGGAGGGGCGGGCTGAGGCGAGGGGGAGGCGGAAGGGGGCGAAGAGGGAGGGAATCCCATAGGACTCCATAGGACTCGGTCAGTATACGTAGACTCACGAAGACTCGAACAAACAAATAAACAAACAGTCTAGGTATATAAGTACTGAGACAACACACGCATGGACTCACAAGGAATCGTGCATCCATACACAAATACATACAAATACATATGCACGACACGCCCATACTATCAGAAAAAGCACACACATAGATACACGCCCAACTAATAAACAAACATACACACAAACGCATTCGCAAAACAATGCCACACAAACACAAACAAACAAACAAGAACACACACACACACACACACACACACACACACACACACACACACACACACACACACACACACACACACACACACACACACACACACACACACACACACACACACACACACACACAACGCCCAGACGAACCTGCTTGACGTGCTGCCGGAACTTGACGCCGTAGTAGGCCGGCTCCTGCGGCTGGAGGTCCTTCAGGAAGAGCCTCAGATTCTCGACGATGACGAAGGTGTCGTCGTCAGCCTTCATGTACCAGTCGTAGTCGGGGTAGCGGCGGTGCAGGTGCTCGAGGGCCGCCTTCGCCTTCGCCCACAGGAAGCCGTAGCCCTCCTGCACCTTCAGGACCTCCGGCTGTAGCTCTGCGTCCTCCTTCGTGCTGTGTGTGTGGGGGGTGGGGGGGGGGGGGGGGCGAGAGTTATTCACTCAAGATCGTTTTATTCATTTATCTTATTTTCTGTCATTACTTGTTATTTTGTTAATCAACCTGTTATTGAATCATTTAAATTTTAGTTATTTTAAATTTATAGTTTAGCAAAGTTGTTTTATCAGTTTAATTGTTTCTCTGTCTAGTTGTTCACTTGCATATTCTCTTTCGGTTGTTTATTCTATTTATCAATTTATGTCAATTTTCCGCCATCTTTCGGGCTCTCTATTTATCAATCTCTGTATATATAGGTCTCTCTCTCTCTCTCTCTCTCTCTCTCTCTCTCTCTCTCTATATATATATATATATATATATATTATATATATAATATATATATAATATATATATATATATATATATATATATATATATATATATATATATATATATATATATATATATATATATATATGCATATATATATTCACCTAATCTATCTATCTACCCATTCCTCCATCCATCCATCCATCTACCCATCTATCTATCAATCTATCTATCTGTCTGTTTATCTGTCTGTCTATCTATTTATCTATCTACCTATCTATATTTTCATTTATCCATGTATCCATCCTTATATGTATCTATCTGCCTATCTATATATATCTACTTATCTATCTATCTATCTATCTACCTCTCTTTCTATTTACTTATCTGCCTACCTATCTATCTATTTATCTATTCATCTATCCTTCCATACATCTGTCTTTTTATCCACCAATATCCATCAATCTATCTACTTCTTACTATGTTTCTTTGGAAACAGAGGATACTATGTTATAACTTCCATCCTGTTCGAGAAGAAAACGGCAAAGGTTAGAACGAACTGATCCTATTTCGACATTAGAGACATTAGACCCAAAAAGGTAAACATGTATAAGCTCTGCGTTCTACCTTTTACCCATTCGACTTCCACATTCCTCTAAACTCCACCCTTGTGCTCCTATCCCTTCCACATCCCTTCCTAAACACAACTTCCCTCCGTCTGTATAAACAGGGGACGACGCCCTCACCTGAAGAAAACCATGGCATCGCAGCGCCGGCCCCACGTGTCCCGTACATTCAATGCGGATTTGTGCGTCGTCGGACCAGTCAGCACGTAACACAGGACGCGGGGAGCGGCTGGCGGGACCTCGAGGCTTGCGTCTGAAAAGGGGGGTTCGGAGTCAATGACGGTTTCGTTATTCGTCCTAATGCGTTGGGTTTTCTTTCGGGTCCTCAACTCGTGGTTTCATCTGAGGTTGATATCTGGGAAAGTTTCGGTTTTCAGTCTGTTGTCTTTTATATATACTTTGATGTAAGAAATTGTCCTGGTATTTTAACACTAATAATAATAGTAGTACTACTAATAATAATAATAAGCAGCTTACACCAGTGGACGAAATTAAATGGCCCTAACATTCTGACTACAGCAAAAACCCTACATTTCCACCGTATGTGTATGCCTTTATATGCAGTACACTTACACCCTGGCACGTCCCTCCACCTGCACCCGACATCCACATTCCAAACAGCGACCATTTCCCACCCACCTTGGCTGCTCACACTGCTTTCCCGGCCTGCATCTCCGCCTCCCTGTGTGGTCAGAGCCGCTCTCCTTCCCCAGGATAGCCCCCACGCCCACGGGCCGCCCACCTGGAGCAAACGAGGGGAAGAGGCAACCGTGAGCGGGCGTGGACAACTCTTCACTGAACTCTTTTATGCTTTGGAACAACAGATCAGCTTTTGTTGATGGTGACGTGGTGGCGTTTTTGCAAGATGGTGACGGGGGGGGGGGGGTTAGATGTTAGAGTGCTAGGTTTGATGGTTATCAGAGGGTGGTGTGTTAAGATAATGGCGCTAGAAGAGAGAATCTTGATGAGGAGGATAAGAATCATAAGGAAAATGATAAGGATGATAGCGATGATTATGATGATTCTTATGATGATAATGATAACGCTAATGATTATGATCACAATAATTGTTATTATAACAATAAGTTTAAGAATATCATAATATTAAATATTATTATATAAATAATCACAATAATGATAGTAATCATAAAAGTATCAATAGTAATAACAATAATAACAGCAATAATAATAATAGTATTATTATCATTATTATCGGTTTTATTTTCATTATCATTGTCATCATTATTATTATTATTATCATTATCATCATTATTATTACCATTATCAAAATCACTATCATTATAATGATAACAATAATAATGATAAGGACAATGTCGATTATGATAATAATAATAAGAAAAGTAACAATCATAACCATCATCATAGTGATAATAATAGTGATAATGATAATAATGATAATAATGATAATGAAAATAATGAACATGATAATAATAATGATAATAATAACAGTGATAATGATAATAATAATCATTATAATAGTAACAATAATAATAATAATAGTAACAACAATAACAATAATAATGGCAATAATAATTATTATAACAATAATAATAACAACAGTAACAACAATAACTACAATGATAATGATAATAATAATGATATAGATAATAATGATAAAGATAATAATAATGATGATGATAATAATAATAATAATAATAATAATAATAATAATAATAATAATAATAATAATAATAATAATAATAATAATAATAATAATAATAATAATAATGATAATAATAACAAATAATAATAATAATAATAATGATAATAATAATGATGATGATGATGATAATAATAATAATAGTAATGATAATAATAAGGATAATAATAATAATAACAACAATAATGACAATCATAATGATGACAGTAATAAGAAAAATGTGATAATAGCTATTACTATCATCATTATCATTACATATTATTTTCATTATAATAATCATTATCATTATTATTGTTGTTGTTATTACTGCTGCTGCTCCTGTTGTTATGATTATGATCATAAAGATAGTAATAATGATAATAATGTTTATAATTTTGTTGATCATCATCATAATGTTAATGATAGCGATACCAATAACAATAACAATAATAATGACAATATTAATAGCAAAACAACATCAACAACAATGACGATAATCATAATAACAACACCGCCAACAACAAAAAACACAACAACACTAATAATAATGATCATAATACTAATGATAGTGAAGAGATCTGAGCCTAATCACAGCGACACGCAAAGGAAACCGCAGAACTGTGACAAGGATGACGATCGCAAAAAGAAAAGTGATTTGATAAGACAAAAAAAAAAAAAAAAAAAAAAAAAAAAAAAAAATGAGATAATGAGAGACGACATTGTTGCCAATATCGCGTTGCATAAAAGAAAAAAGATAATGATAAATGAAGAAAAAACGACAAATCTGGACGAAGCATCATCAGTGAAGCAGTGAAGTCAAATTAGCATCATCACTCCAATTACTGTCATCATTATGGAACTAAATCTTGCTTCCTTATAGCGAGGTTGGCTTTACAATGGAGCTCTTTCCTCATTTCATACTCTTTCGTTATTATAAAATTGTATTTCAAGCGAGAAATGTTCCAGAAAATAATTTATGTAATAAGTATCAATTTTACGTTTCATTACAACTATATTATCACAGCAAAAAATTAAAATAAAATAATAAATTAATAATAATAATAATAATAATAATAATAATAATAATAATAATAATAATAATAATAATAATAATAATAATAATAATAATAAATAAACTAAGATGAAGAAATATCTATACACACACACACACACACACACACACACACACACACACATTATATATATATATATATATATATATATATATATATATATATATATATATATATATATATATATATACAATATATACATAAGCTACATTATGAAAATCCGAAGAACCCAAAAGATACGAAGATGTGCTATCTATAAACCTCTTTTTTCTCTTTCTCTCAAACTTTTCCCCCCCTCGCTTCTTGCACCGTAAGCAGAAGAGAATAAAATAAAACAAAATGCTATCAAAATCAGAAAAAAAACACGAAGGGTGCGCTATCTATCAACCTTTTTTTCTCAAACTTTTTTTTCGCTCGCCTGTTGCAGCGTCCACCGGCCCCTTCCTAGAATCCGTCGTCCGCATTCCTCGCCGAGCCTTCGCCGTCGTCGTCGCCATTGGATCCTCTGGCCGCCGCGCCGCTCAAGTGCCAAGTACTCTGAGGCCATTTTTGCCATTGGCGAATTTGCCATGAAGTTTCGAAGGAGTTGATACGCTTTTTTCTTTTTTTTTTCTTTTTTTTTTTTTGAGGGGGGGAGGGCGGTGATGTATACCTGTGGGAGTTTATTTCGCTTTATTTACCTGCGTTTCGGTGGTGTCATTGGTGATGTCATTATTTAGGGCATTTTCTCTCGCTAGTTCGACAGACAGACTGGCGAAGATGTGAATGACGAGGCCCAAGACAAAGCCAAGGAAGAAGGTTGAGACGGTGCGCGCGCAGGCCCACGTAGACGGTCGTCTTCCCATTTTCTGTATAT